ATTAAATTATCTCAAATAAACCTTCATTTCGGTGCAATATTGAAATTAGCTTGAATTCTTCATAACCTCTGAATAGTTAGGTCACGGTGGTCTAGTTATTTCTAATAAGCAGGGCCGGATCTTGAGTTTGCTGGGCCTTAACTGAATGTGGCATGCAGGGAATCTTTAGCTCTTTATATAGGTGATTCTGGTCATGGAAGTTGCTTGTTGTAATATTTAATGTAGCTATAAAGAACCAATAATAGCGTTAAAATAATGAATCTTGATTGTTTCTTTAGAATCATTAGTACATTCGTCCTCGCTTTCATTATTAAAATTTTTTTCCTTATTTGCTGTCGCACTTTTCTGAATTATTTATCCATGTCTAAACTTTCTGCCAGATCGTTGGCAGTTGAAAGTACTGACTCAGAACCCTTGAGCTATATGCACCAATCCAGTTGTTGTTGTTTGTTATTAGGCACAAAGCTATACAAAGGGCTCTGCCTACCACGGGTATCGAAACCCGGTTTCTAGAATTGTAAGTCCGCAGACATACCGCTGTGCCACTGCTCAGTAATACATTTTAAAATCTCTTTTATATGTTTTACGGTGCTGTCTAAATGCATGTTATTACTCTGTCATAATTTACTGATAGTATTTACAGTTATCAAAAATCATACAATATAATAAGAGATACTAAAAAATCATATTACATAATCTCATTAATGAGAGAATCGCATTCACTGCGAAGTTTGGGGTCGCCCTTACAATTTGCCGATGGTTCCTATAAAGCATCATAGATCTCTTTGAGTTTAAATCGAATAATTTTCACACTACATGGCACTTCCATCTAGTCTCTGAAAGTGGTTTTAGGGTAATATTTACCTTTTCGTTTAATAGATGTAATCTGCTTGAAGATGCTAAAAATAAAGTATAAAGCCTTTGAAATGAACAAAAAAATATTTCAGTCCTTGTACAAGATGAAACAGGAACTCCTAAAGTCAAATTATAACTATGACAACCACAGGGACAGTAAAAAGCTCGTGGATTGATTTTAAGTATTCTTGCTTTTACACCAGTATTTTTACCATGCACATGTGCACCACTATCATGGCTTTGTCCACGACAATCTTGGATGTTCAAACCATGGTTCATTATTTCTGCCAGAATTATTTTAGATAGACATATTACTGTTGTTTCTAGCACTGGCAGAAAACCAGTACAATGCTCCTCAATCTCCCCAGCATTACATTCAACATGGCACAATATCATTGTCATTTGTTGAATATGACTCACCTCAAAAATAAATACTTAACATTTCGCCACCTTTTCAGCCATTAAATCATCTTGAGGTAGTGAGTGTGTGTATTTCATTCCTCATAACACTACCTAAATGTTCTTGCATGTCAATAATTTAACCAATCCAAGGAAACTGCCACAATGTTTTACAGGTACACTCATATTATGTGTAATATATTACACACTCATATGTGTAATATAAGGTAACAGAAATTTAAAAGCAAAGTAAACAACAAGAGGAAATTCACAGCCTAAAGATGGGTTTATTGTTAACACATCAGAAAGACGAAACAGCTTATAAAAATCTATGAAATCATCATTGACATGAAAATTAAGGCATTTACTTTTTATTAAAAACAAAAAACCACTATTGTACATACAAAATTGTATAAAGTTAAACTCAGACATATAGAAATGCATGTAAGAAATTACATGTCATGAAAAGAAAAACTGATTAATAAAAGTTGTACAAAGTAACACAGAAATATTTGTAAATGTTTATACACCAAGAAAAGGAACACTAGAATAAAAAATTAAAAATATGAAGATCTTTCAGAAAACACAACTGTGCATTGAGATCTGTATTACTGAATGAAAATTTACACAAAAACAAGACAATAACATATATATAACCATGGTCTACTCGTTACACATCATGAAAAGCATCACTAATGTATAAAATAGTTTATATACAAACTATGAGTCGAGGTGAGATTACAAAAACAATGATCTCACAAAATACTACTGTACATTCAAATAACAATATTAAAAATAGGTAGATGATATTTTAGAGATATTTTATTTTTTAGAGAAACAGAAAAATTGAAAGCTGGCAAATAAAAGAACAAACTTTTTACTACAAAAACAAACTTCTAAATTAAACTTACACTTCTGATTTATTTTGACATTTCATGTTGCTTGGACACGGAAAATATTAGTTGTGACCATTTTAGCAGTTTTGATTATGTACTCGATAAAAGCCTAATTTCTTTGGAAAGTAAGTAGCACTGGCGATGCATATCAAAATATCTTACTAGTTGAACTGAAAGAAGATAGCCACCCCATTTCTAATTCGTGATATCTACACACCGTGATCAAAGTTATTGTATTATACATGGTCTGGTGTCAAAAGCCAGAGCTGGATTTAGGTGAGAACTGATGGAGCTGTAGCTCCAGGCCCACTCAAAAAGAAGAGGAAAAAAAAAGAGATATGCAATAGAAATTACATGTATTCCCAATCAACAATTTGTTCAGCGTTTAAAAAAATAACTCATAACTCATGTGGCCCTAGTCATTTGTGAGAGTCCTAGATTTATTACAGAAAAATTGT